GACAGATAAGTTGAATGAATTGTTGTCTGATAACGATAAAATAATAGTGAGAAAGTCGAGTTTCGTGAAGATTGAATTAATACTAATGGTAGGGTGAAATACAACCTTGTTGAGTTGAATACCGATGAAAATATGACGGTCATGTGGAAATCATTTCGTCGTAGGGTAACTAAGGGGTTGATCGAGTTTGATACGAAGATTTTGAGATTTGTTGACGATAAAATCAAGATGCTGAAACATTCTGAATCATCTAACAGTGTCTAGGTTTTCATGTTTTGATATTTTTAATTTATGTTTGTTGTAATGTTTTAAGTTATGTTCATCATCTAAACATGTAATTGACAAAATATTATGTAATAGAAAATAATGTGCTAAGTAGTCTGAGTCAAAAGATGAGTCATAAAATATATATATATATATATATATATATATATATATATATATATATATATATATATATATATATATATATATATATATATATATATATATATATATATATATATATATATATATATATATATATATATATATATATATATATATATATATATATATATATATATATATATATATATATATATATATATATATATATATATATATATATATATATATATATATATATATATATATATATATAATACAACTATCAAATGAAATAACAAAATAGGTCCCCACAGGCTATGTAACCTACCCGAGATAATCCAATAAAAACCTCACCATATAGGTTTACCAAACCCATGAGGTTATCTATAATAACAGCAATCATGGAGAAACGCTCCTGGTCATTTGTGCCTGGTGGAAGAGGTGGTAGGGGCACATCGTTAGCTTGTACCCCAACATCAAAAACTCCAGCACTGAAAAACCCTACAGTAGGTGGTATGATGTGAGGATGTGATATAGTGAGATACCACTCCAACTAACCATCCTCACATTCCAAAAGGTGTTAAACACTCACTGCGGTAGACTTAATGGCACGTGCAAAGCTAATGATGTTACTTTGAAACCATTTGTCAATGCCCTAGTTGGAGCCTTCGGAATCGATCAAGGGATGCTCTGGACATAATCGTAATATCAAAGACACCTCTTAGGAAAGTGTCTAGCCACCAAGGTCTCCCACCTCATATGACCTGAATATAAGGAACACTCGTCAAACTCTCGATGGACCCAGTGAGTTGTGTATGGTGTCTAGATGGCATCATCTACTGTCAGAGCATCAAGCCTCCTCATGTACTCCACAACACCACAAGGATGAGCTTGTCTGGACTTCTATCTTCTCACCCATGGAGCACCCGCTAGAGCATATTGCACTCTTCTATCACAGGTGCTAGAGAAATGCTAGTATGTCCAGCACTGAAGAAATAAAAATTAATTAATGTCGCAAAAAATAATTAAATAAAAAAATTAAGAAATGCATATATACCTAGAATAAACTCAAATAATCATCAAGTTGTTTGGTCTCAAAGACAATTGCAACTCTAGGTTTCGTATAAAGCATAGTCAACACATTTACTCCCGAAGCCCAACATGAAGACTCTAGGCTACTAAACAGCGACAAGTATCTCACGTCAATATAAACATTAAACTTATCCGCAAAGAGAGTACATGCCATCAAATGTAGCATGTTCGCTCAAGCGGCAACCTCATACATATGTGCCTTCATAAGCTCATGGTACATGTCCTGAAGCCAGGACATCCGAAGGTGAGCTTCCCTGTTAAACTCAAACTCCTCTAGCACGACTGCCTTAGTGAGTTACAGATCCTCTACAACCTGATGCAATGGCGTCGTATGGTTAATGATAGGAGCAGTAGAGAATCTACTGGCGATAGTGAGGTGAAACAATGAGGAGACATCATCCAAAGTGATAGTCATATACCTAAATGGAATATGAAAGAAAGATGTCTCCTTATGTCACCGCTCAACAAAAGCAGACAGAAGGGAAGCATCGAGTATGGTCAATGAGCATTCGGTGAACTCTATGAGACTAAAATCAAAAACAATATGCCTGGCCTGCTCAGGCATCCGACTCAGTGGGAAGTTCTTCAACTTCAAACCGGGATGTGACCTTCAGCGTCAGACGTTCCTTTAAGAAACAAAGTTAAAAAATTATCAGTAAACTTTTAACACATCACCGAACCATAATAAGTAATTTGTAATTAAAAAATATAACAAATATACCTCTCTCTGTCATACTCTGTATGCGACATGGTCAACATACTCTGTGAGCACTGATCGGACAATGGTTCCTCTCGGGAAGGCTCTACCTTTGTGAACAGATGTCTCTATAAAATCATGAGTTGTAGCGTCATATTAGTATAAGTATTATCATCGTCAACATGAGGCATGGGAACCACCTTATCAGTAACCTCAGCAACATGAACCTTCTCAGCAAGAGGTACATCATCAGCAACCGGAACATCCACAGTAGGAGGTATTTCCACAATAGCATGTACCTCCATAGGAGCAGGTTCATCCTCAGAAATTTTACTCGCTCGACATCAAGGGGCGTAGAATTGGCCATGCGCCTGCTCAGCCATTCGTTTCTAGTGTGAATCGGTCAGAGCAACTCGTCCATCCCGTAGGTAAAAATTAGAGTAAGAAGGATGTCTCAGAAATTTTGAAATTTCTGATATTTTCCAAAAACATTTAAACTACCGAAAATATCAAAGTTTCTAGTAACAAAACCTTAATAAGTTCTGGAAATTTTTGAAATTCCCGATAAATTATACCATAAATTATCGCAATTTCTGGTAAGTTTCTCAGAAATTCTGATATTTCTGGTATGTTGCTTACTTTTTTTTGAAGAAATTTCGGTATGAACTTTAAAATCCTGGTATCGCCTGAGAGAATTTTTGATATGCACTTGAAAATGCCGGTATAGCCTGGGAAATTTGATATTTGCACTTGGTGTGTGAGTGAATTTTGAAAAAGACGAAACTTTGATTAAGGTTATTGTGGTCTTTTCAAACAAATTGGGGGAGTGTTAGGATCAACACAGGAGGTGGTAAGTTAAATTCTCATTTGTCCTGGTTTTATAGATTGACCCAACCCATATACTCCCTAACTCTCAAACACGAGCATTTAACTTACCATCCCCCGCGTTGTACTTGGCACTCCTCCAAAACGTATGAAGGGCCATAATAATCCAACTCAAAGTTTTCACCATTTTGCGAAATTCACAGTTGAGAATCAGAATTTTCAAAAATCTAGGGCGATATCGAAAATTGTTAAAAAAAAAGTAAGAAAGTTATTGTAAAAGTGGACATTTCCGAGAGAAATTCACAAATTTCGGTATTTTTTACCTAAAATTTCAAAAATTTCCAATATTTTTAGAGGTTATTTTACCAGAAATTTTGAAAATTCCAAATATTTTAAAATTTCCGATCATTCATTTTTTAACTATTTTTTGTCGTTTTTTATTTTCCAATGAGGACCTGGAGTAAGGACGGTTCCATTGGAGACAGGTTGACTGATAGAGCGAAGCTCAAGCCAGGCCTGATGAGGCAGAGGCTTCCCAGTTACGGGCTGGACGACATCCTCCGACTGATTCTCATCGGAAACGGATGACTGAGCAGGCGCGGTCCTACACACCTTGACGTCGAGCTTCTAGAATTTTTACTGTTGAGGAGGTACCTGCACCTGTTGCTGATGAGGTAACTAATTTGTCAATGTAATCACAATCCTATAAAGATGTCTGTAAAATCTTGATCGTTAAAATTTTGAGTCATTTACACTATCGAAAATTTCATGATTCACCTAAATTTCCGATATAAAATCGAAGATTTTGAAATTTTTGTAACTACCTGAAATTTTGTTGGAAAAAAAATTTTATCAGGAGCATTTTTAGAGTTATGAAAATATGGAATACCATATATAATTTTGGAGATGGTAAATTAAATCCTCCTTAAACATAATGCCTCTATGCTTATTGTTTCAACTCATAATAATTAAAAAACAACATATCAACGCATAATCATCATTCAATCATATTATGTAAATATCAACTAAATGACACATTATGGTTTGGTCAACTAGTACATAGTCTAATTTTGTTGTTCCGACACCATTCTAAACACAACGATTGTGGTTGTGCAACCTAAAGCTCATGGAGTATTCGTGTTTAATAATATTACTCCTGCCGATTAATACCTTAACTTAATATTCACAGATTTTTGAACTAATGGTAGAAGAGAAATTCTTGATGTCTGAGTTTAAGAAAAACAGAGGAAATTAAGAAATAAAAACGAAGTTTATAAAATTTGACTAAAATGAATTTATGACTTTATTGATCAAATAATGATTGCAATCAATGGGAAATAATGTTAGTGTTGTACTCCTTGAATTGTTTGATCCCCACCAACAAAAAGAAATGTTTAATATAAATTGATCAAATAATTCACATAAACCAATTTCTTCGATTACAAAATTAAATTTGTGTAAAAACATTATAACTCATTCACAACTGTTTTAAATTACAAACATCTAATAATTTGCATAACTTACTAGAGAGGACTAGAAAAATAATCAAAATTCGAAAGATTACAAAATTGTAACTAAATATGTTTCAGCCAGGAAGCACAATATACCATGTTGAAGTTTAAATGCTGAAGAGTCATAGCAAGAAAGTGACAAAGCCAAGAAAATGGTGTTGGCTTAACTACTTCAATTATTTGTTATACTTATTACAGGCAAAATTTAGACAATTATGACAAAAGAAGAAGATAAATAAATAAAATATACCTTGCCTAGTATATTTTAACACAAATTTTAACAATAATTTCGCTAAAAACTCCGCAAGTAAAAAGAAATTGTCTACCAAAGCCTGCTATATCTAACCATCATATCCGGTAGATGTAAAAATGGCGCAATTTAAAAAGACTTGCCGTTTATCATCATCTGGTAAATCAAAAAGCTCTGCTAAAGAAACTGGCAACTAAGTTGATCTTTGCCTATCTGTATCTGTATAGTTTATAAAATCCGATTTGCTACTTTAGTATTAGGTGGTTTTCTCTTTGTCGTTGGTTTCCTTTTTAGCCTTCCCTCTGCATTTGGATTTAGAAGCTTTGGTGGTTGAAAGCAGAATGTCTTCTTCTTTTGCTTCCTGGTTCCCAGAAAGTTCAGAGTCGAGGGAAATAACCAATTTCACATGATCTGATGAGAGAGCTTCTTCCCATCCTGCATGAAAATAGCTTCTATTAGGAAAAACAAGTTATAGATCAAGCCAAATGGGTACAAGCAAGTTTAATAGAAGAATAATGAAAAGTAGTAACAATGCTTACTTTTTGCAAGAAAGTCTCTAGCAGTCTGAATCGAAAACTTTTGCTTTACCGGATCTACTCTACTCTCGGTATTGGAAACTTTGTTTTCAAAACCACTTTCATCACTACAAATCCTTGATCGGTTCCGACAAACTTGATTTTTATTAACTGCAGCATCTTCCATGCCACCACTTTGAGCTGGAAATGGATCTTCAGTTTCAAACTGGATAACTGCTGTGGAAGGCTCAACAATTGACTGATTATTCTCACTAGTACGTAAATCAGGTTTCTTTGGTTTATTCTGAGAACTATTCTGCTTGTCCGACGTATTCTCAATCAAATTCTTTTCTTCAATTGCCACCGCATTCTCAACCAAACATTTTTCTTGAGATGCCACCACATTGCCCTCTGATTGGCTGCAGTTGGCAAGATTGACAGATATAGATCCTATCAAAAATTCATGATTCTTTACAAGGTCTGGTTCAGTCTTTGTTACGGTTTTTAAAACCATCCTGTCAATTTCAGGTTTTAGCTTTCCATGCCATGCTTTACCAGCATTAAATGTACCATCTGCCCACTGATCATCGCGGGTTCCATATTTCTGAATGACTTCAGGATTTGAAATTGGAGGATTCTTATTTGTAAGCTGATCACTGGCAGTGCGTTGGGAGAATTTTGGAAGCTGGGGCCATCTTGCAAGATCATCAAGTTCACGTTGTGACTGTCGAATATTCAGATCAGCACCAAAATCATGTTCTGACAGGGTATTCCCGTTTTTTCCTTCATTGATGTCAGGGGATTGAAGAGGTACAGGTGGAGCGTTCTTTGCAGACTCCTCTGGATTTTGAGCTTCAAAGTCATATGTATCCAAAGACGTTTCTGCTGGTGAAACAGTCTTCATTGTACTGTCAATATTCCCTTCAGTATCTACCTCTGGATTTTGAGCTTCAAAATCATATGTATCCAAAGACGTTTCTGCTGGTGAAACAGTCTTCATTGTACTGTCAATATTCCCTTCAGTATCTACCTCTGGATTTTGAGCTTCAAAATCATATGTATCCAAAGATGTTTCTGCTGGTGAAACAGTCTTCATTGTACTGTCAATATTCCCTTCAGTATCTACCTCTGGATTTTGAGCTTCAACATCATATGTATCCAAAGATGTTTCTGCTGGTGAAACAGTCTTCATTGTACTGTCAATATTCCCTTCAGTATCTACCTCTGGATTTTGAGCTTCAACATCATATGTATCCAAAGATGTTTCTGCTGGTGAAACAGTCTTCATTGTACTGTAAATATTCCCTTCAGTATCTACCTCTGGATTTTGAGCTTCAACATCATATGTATCCAAAGATGTTTCTGCTGGTGAAACAGTCTTCATTGTACTGTCAATATTCCCTTCAGTATCTACCTCAACCTTGTTTCTTTGTTCCTTAGCCTTCTGTTCTTTTTGCCTAAGCTTTTTCTGGCGTTTCCTCTCCAAAATCTTAGCTTGTCTGTAAACATAGGGTAAATAAATAAGGTATCCCATTATCCATACAATCAAGAGGATACACTTTCAGCTGTATCTCGTGTACCTTTTTCTAAACAAATGTTTAACGATAAACTTGAAGTATGCCCAGTTTATTTTATTTATAATAAGAAACAAAATCTAAGAAAATAAAATGAAAATCATTGCAGAAGCATTGTAAGATCTTATTTTAATTTGTGACAAGCTAGAAGTACTATAAATCAGCAGCAGGTTAACTTGGCTAAGTTATTGCATCAAGCATGAGAGTTTCTTCAGACATGGGAACAAATTTACAAAAACTATGCATTAGAGTTTTGAGCAGGTTGATGATATCAGTTGCTTTCTTAAAACCTCAAGTTTTGCTACTTCTATCGAAATGTAATGGCTTATCAACCCAGGTACCCTAGGTAGTTTTGTGCTTCTGAGCTATACATATTTATGATAGTTTAAATGAACTCCCTTATTTCACAAAACAAAAGCAAATAATGGGTTATTCGGTTTGTATATAAATCAAAATATACAACGGTATAGGATACATCGAAGTTCTAAACAGACTTTTTTTTAATTTTATTCCAAAATTAGTCTTTTATAGTATTGCTCAAACTTAACCTGGTATGGTACCTGTGAAAAATAAGAATAATATTGTTTTGACTTTTGAATGTGCTTGAGATGCAATGCTCTCGGCATATTGCTTAATTTATAATCATGTAGTTACAACTTACAAGGATAATAATTATGTGCAATTTACAAAAAAAGGAATTAAACTAATACAAATTACCAAGATACATAGAACTTAGTATGCAATGAATTAACTAGGAAAATACATAATTAACTACTTGGAAAATGCAGAATTAATTATTAGAATTTCCAACACTCCCCCTCAAGTTGGTGAATAGGTATTCTCCATTCCCAGCTTGGACACAATTTTTTCAAAATTTGGATACATAAGGAGTGGATAATGATGTATCCGCAAGTTGACCTTGTGAAGGAACATAAGGAGTGTAAATCAAACCGCAATCAAGCTTCTCTTTGGTAAAATGTCTATCCACCTCAATGTGTTTTGTTCGGTCATGTTGAACTGGATTGTGAGCTATACTAATTGCTGATTTATTATGACAAAAGAGCTTCATAGGTCCATCCCATTTAATCTCCCAACCAATCTTTGATACATTTCCTTATCCACCACTGCACCTTCTTCCAATTACCTAACTTATGGCTTGGATCTATAGGACTTCCCACAAGTTTACAAGCTAGCTTACATGTTTCCATCAACAAATCTATGATATACTTTTGTTGAGATATGAAAATACCTTTTTTGAATGAACCACCTCTATTCCTAAAAAATACTTCAGCCTCCCAAGACTTTTCATTTCAAACTCTTTTGCTAAATGTTGAGTCAAGACTTGTTGCTCCTTCCAATTATTTCCAGTCACAATAATGTCATCAACATATACCAACAACACTGTAACTCCCCCTGAAGAAGAGTGCTTAATAAACAGTGTATGATCTTCATTACTTTGTTTGTACCCTAAGGCTGTCATAGCCTTAGTAAACCTTCCAAACCATGCCCGAGGTTATTGTTTCAATCCATATAATGTTTTTCGCAACTTACAAACTGATTGACATCAACATTATTCCCATATCGAGGTGGAATCTCCATATAAATTTCTTCTTCAAGCTCTCCATGTAAGAATGCATTTTTCACATTAAATTGTTGCAACTCCCACCCATAATTGACAGCAAGGGATAATATAACTCGAACTGTATTCATCTTTGCCACAGGGACAAAGGTTTCTGAATAATCAATGTCATAGGTTTGTGTGAATCCTTTAGCAACCAGTCTTGCTTTGTACTTCTCAATTGTCCCATCAGCCTTGTATTTTACTGTATACACCCACTTGCAACCAACTGGTTTCTTTCCTTCAGGCAAAGCAACCAACTGCTATGTTTTATTCTTCTCTAATGCCTCCATTTCTATATCCATAGCCTGCTTCCAACTTTTATCAGATAATGCCTCGAAAACATTAGTGGGAATTTGGAGGGTATTTAAGTTTGCAAGAAAGGCTTTATGGGCTGGAGAAAATTTCTGATATGAAACATAATTTGAAAGTGGATAAAGTGGTCTTTTTATACATTCTCTAACTCCCTTTCTAATGGCAATTGGTAGGTCATGGTTATCTTCAATTGTTGGATTTTGTGTTTCACTTTGTGGGGCTGAAATATCATCTTGTAAAATTGAAAAATCAGAATTTGTTACCTCTACTAAAGGGCTTGGGTCGATTTCTTGGACATTTGTTGATTCAGGAGTAGCCTTCAATCTTCTACTATCAAATTCTTTCCAAACTTATTATTTCCAGCTCTGTTTTCAACCACAGATTCATTCTCAAGTCTATTTTCAGCCACTTCTTCATTTTCAGATTCATGTCCAAATCCATCTTTGACCAATGCCTCATTTTCAGATTCATTTGCAACTACTTCTCTTCTTGAATTGAGCTCATGGGAATTTGTTTCAAGATTTGAAAGAATAAAAGTTTCAAGAGTATTATCCTTATCTTCAATGAGATGCCCCCCTTGAATAAGATGCCTCCCTTGAAGATAAGGTTGTATGAAGTAGGCATCTCCTTCATGAAATGTAACATCTCGAGACCCAAATATTTTTTTTGATGGAGGGTGGTAACATTTATATCCTTTTTGAGTAGTAGAGTACCCAACAAAGACACATTTTAGAGCTCTAGGATCAAGCTTTCCCCTACCTTGACGATGGATATGAACAAATGAGACACACCCGAAAATCCGTGGGACAAGATTATTAGTGGTCGAAATGTTCGGATAGAAGGACGAAAGAATATCCATAGGACTCCTTAATTCCAATACTCTAGAGGGTAGTCGGTTAATGAGGTATGTTGCTGTAAGTACAGCTTCTCCCCAAAGATACTTTGGAACATTATTTTGAAACAACAACGCTCGGGTTTGGTCAAGAAGATGGCTATTTATTCTTTCAGCAATTCCATTTTGTTGCGGTATTTTCACACAAGACTCATGAATTATTCCTTCTTTTTCACAAAAAGGAGTAACGACATGATTGAAAAACTCCTTATTATTCAAAGGAAAATGTACCCTTTTATGTTTTGCAATTTCACATACTTCACAACGAAGAGTCTCAATTTTCAGCTTAGAAAACAAAGATGGAAACATACTTTTGATAACTCCAAAAGAGGGATGTCCTAATCGACAATGGAAAAATAAGATTTTTTCTTTGCTTGTGAGAAGTGACTCTGACATTAGTGAGTAAGACGAGAGACTTTTTGTTGTAACAAGCTGATTTGATTCTTCGAGATAGTAAAGGTCATTCCCTTCTCTAGTATGTCCGATCTTCCTCCCCGAATCTTTGTCTTGAAATATATAATGGGTGCTGTGAAAAATTACACTACAAGATAAATCTTTTGTAAGTTTTTGGATAGAAACTAGGTTTGTAGACAATTTTGGAACATGAAGGACATTTTTTAAGAGAATGGAAGGAGTTATTTGGATGTCTCCAATACCACCCACTGTTACTAGAGTACCATCAGCGGTGGAAATTTTTTTATTACTTGGACTAGGGTGATATTTGGAGAAGTAATTGGATGAAGGGGTCATGTGATCGGTGGCTCCTGAATCTAAGATCCATGGGGAAATAGAAGGCATGTTTGAGACATTAAACCCAAATGAAATCGGAAGCATACTTGAACAAGCCAAAGTACAAGTACTTGTTGGTTTCTCCAAGATATTAGGGAAAGTGGGCATCAAATAATTTTTCTCATTTATTTGATATGCAGGCTGTAAGCTCTCGAATTCTCCAAAGTGATTATTTTGGAATTGAGCATGTCCTCCTCGTATAAAATGGAGGAAGTTGAAAGAGTATTGGTAATGCAAGAAAAAAAAGTACAAAAGTACTGACAGTGGGGCTGTTGGCTGTATGAACAGCAACCAGAAAAATTACCAAATTGTACTAACGGCTGTCGGAAAGTACAGAAAGGGTTTAGTTGGAAGATTTGACAGCAAATAGTGTCCAGTCAAGATTTGAGATTTTTGACAGCAGAAAATGCCCAGCCAAATTTTCTCAATAATTGTTGCGGAAGCGAAACTAGAGTCTCCTAGATCAGGAGCTCTGATGCCATGTGAAAAATAAGAATAATATTGTTTTGACGTTTGAATGTGCTTGAGATGCAATGCTCTCAGCATATTGCTTAATTTATAATCATGTAGTTACAACTTACAAGGAATTATGTGCAATTTACAAAAAAAAAGGAATTAAACTAATACAAATGACCAAGATACATAGAACTTAGCATGCAATGAATTAATTAGGAAAATACAGAATTAACTACTTGGAAAATGCAAAATTAAATTATTAGAATTTCCAACAGTACCTTTTATGGGCAGCTTCTTCCTCATCCACCAATTGCTTTTGGCACCTCAGTGCTTCAGCATCCTTGTCAGCAAGCCATGCCTTAACCTAAATGAAAGAAAACTCATTTCATCATAACCATAACTGAAATAACTAATTTGGGAAATCAAGATTTTGGGTTTTTTATGATACAATCGGGATATAAGGCTTGGTAGTTTCTGAGGAAGTTAATCCTTCGCATTTGGTTCCATTAGCACCTTCACAGCAAGATCATAATTTCAAATACACCGAAAAAACACATGTTGAGTCGATGGTTAATTATTGAAAGAAGACGGGTTTCAAGGCTGATGCTATAATAGGGAGTTGGATTGTATGAAGTGTGTTTAAAGAAACAGACAATCTGTATTTCTTTGATAATTCGATAAGTAATACATGAAAGGTATATATAGAATACAAGGGACAGATCAATAATCCTAAATCTGGCTTGAGAATCAGAGCAATAATTCTCCCTTTAAATGCTAATTCTAAATATGGTAGAAGACAACTAATTACTAATTACTAATAGCTAATTACTCATATATTATTTACAATGAATGTTGAGCTGTATAATACAGAATCAACAGATTCTGTACTTATCTCTCTAATAACTTCCAACACTCCCCCTCAAGTTGGCATGAATATGTCATTCATTGCAAGCTTGCTCACCATACCATCAAATTGTCTCTTTGGAAGACTCTTTGTGAGAACATCTGCCACTTGACTTGTGGTAGGTACATAGGACATACAAATTTCACCACTGTCAATTTTTTCTTTAATGAAGTGCTTGTCCACTTCAACATGTTTCGTTCTGTCGTGTAGGACAGGATTATGGGCAATGGAAATAGCTGCCTTATTATCACAGTAGACTTTAATTGGTGTTGGGATAGAGACCTTATTCCTCCATGAATTTTTTAATCCATAATACTTCACAAAAACCGTGGGCCACTGAGCGGAATTCAGCCTCTGCACTGCTTCTAACTACAACATTTTGCTTTTTACTTCTCCATGTAACTAAGTTTCCACCTATAAAAGTACAATAGCCTGAAGTAGACCGCCTGTCATTTATATTACCTGCCCAATCAGCATCTGTGTAAGCCTCCACTTGTATATGCCCTCTGCTTTTGAACATCAACCCCTTCCCTGGAGTTCCTTTTAAATATTTCAATATTCTGAAAATAGCTTCAAAATGAGTAGGTCCTGGTGCATGCATAAACTGACTAATTACGCTTACTGCAAAGGCTATATCAGGCCTTGTATGAGACAAATAAATTAGTCTACCGGCTAGTCGTTGGTAGCGTTCCCTATTTACCACTTCATCTTTAGATGCTGCCTTCAGTTTTACATTGGGATCCATTGGTGTTTCTGCTGCTTTACACCCTGTCATCCCTGTTTCTGTGAGTAAATCAAGTATATATTTGCGTTGGTTGAGAAAGATTCCCTCCTTAGACCCTGCGAACTCCATCCCGAGAAAATACTTTAATTTTCCAAGGTCCTTGATATCAAATTCAGCTTCAAGTCTTCTCTTTAGATCACCTATCTCGTTAACATCATCTCCTGTCATGATAATGTCATCGACATACACAATTAAAATAGCAAGCTTACCTTTATCTGAATGTTTAAAGAACAATGTGTGATCTGCTTGACTTTGGGTGAAACCATGTTTCTTAACAACACTTCCAAATCTTTCAAACCAAGCCCTTGGTGATTGTTTTAATCCATATAAGGATTTTTTTAATTTGCAGACTTTGTCCCGTCCAAGATTTTCTTCAAATCCAGGAGGTAAACTCATATATACTTCTTCATGTAATTCTCCATTCAAAAAAGCATTTTTAACATCAAATTGATGTAGTGTCCAATTGAAATTTACTGCAAGAGAGAGAAGAATTCTGATGGAATTAATCTTAGCAACAGGGGCAAAGGTCTCTTGGTAGTCTATACCATGAGTTTGAGTAAAACCTTTGGCTACTAGCCTTGCTTTGTACCTTTCTACATTTCCATCAGCCTTGCATTTCACTGTAAAGACCCATTTACATCCAACTGCCCTTTTGTTATGAGGTAGATCAGTGATACTCCAAGTATTATTTTTTCTTAGAGCATCCATCTCTTCTTTCACTGCTAATTTCCAATTCGGGTCACCTAATGCTTCTTGAACAGTTCTGGGCACAAACAAATTCGAAATCCTAGACACATATGCCTTGTGAGTGTGTGATAAATTGTCATATGACAAATAATTAGACATGGGGTGTTTAGTGCATGTTCGAGTACGTTTCCTATCAGCAATTGGGATATTAAGGTCAGGAATTTTTTTTCTCAAAGCAATAGGAAGATTAATATTAGGAAAAGACAAATCCAGTAAATCATTGGAAGAGTAAGATGGATTACCAGATGAAGAACTAGAAGGTGAAGTTTCAGTAGGACCTTCACTTGGTAAATCAGATTGGATTTTTTCCAGAGCGACAATTGGATTTGTAATACCTTTGTGAAACCTTTTTCGGACATACACTTGAATTTGAGGATTATGATCCTCAGTCAGTTTTTCTCCCCCTGTTTCAGACATGATATTATCCGACAATTCAAGATTAAGCATTCTGAGTTCTATTATCTTTGTATCTGGATGATTTGTTGTCACAATATCATCCAGTGCAGGTAAAGTTTCCCAAAAATTATCTTCTTTATCAACACAATGATTCTCCCCCTGAAGATGATTTTTATTAAAAAAAGGTTGATTTTCAACAAAGCTGACATCCATACTTTCAAAAAATTTCTTTGTTATTGGGTTAAAACATTTGTAACCCTTTTTATTTGAAGCGTAGCCAAGAAAAACACATTTTTCAGCTTTGGGATCCAATTTGGAACGGAAAGTATTTGGGATGTAGACATAACAAAGACAACCGAAAACTTTAAGGGGAAGATCCGCAATGATGCGAGATGTGGGAAAATAATTTTGTAAAACTTGCATAGAAGTCTCATATTTTAAAACACGAGATGGCATTCTATTGATTAGGTAACAAGCAGTTAATAAGGCATTTCCCCAAAGATATTTAGGTACATTCATAGAAAACATAATAGCTCTAGTAACTTCGAGGAGATGTCTATTTTTTCTTTCAGCAATACCGTTTTGTTGTGGAGTATCACGACAAGTGGATTGATGAATGATCCCCTTAGCTACTAGGAATGTACTTAGATATTTGTTGAAATATTCAGTGCCATTGTCAGACCTTAGAATGCCAATCTTAGTTTGAAATTGGTTTTCAATCATTTGAAAAAAATCTTTAAACCTTTGTTCCACTTCAGATTTTTTTTCTAAGAGATAAACCCAACACACACGTGTATGGTCATCAATAAATGTCACAAACCATTTTTTTCCCGACATAGTTTTAATTTTTGAAGGACCCCAAACATCACTATGGATTAAATAAAAAGGTTGCGAAGCAGAATAAATTTTTGAAGTAAAAGATACACGATGATCTTTAGCTAAATGACCAGCTTCACAATGAAATTGTGAGGAATTTATCTTTTTGGCAAATTTTGGAAATAAATACTTAAGATAAGGGAAACTAGGATGACCTAATCTCTTATGCCATAACATAACTTGATCTGAAACGGGAGGTAAACTTGCACTGTTTAAACCAAAAAACATTGCATTTCCTAGAGGAGTTTCATCAAAGTAGTACAATCCATTCATCTCTCTAGCAGTTCCAATCGTCTTCCCCGAGTTCTGGTCCTGAAAAACACAAGTGGAAGAACGAAAAATCACAGAACAATTAGTGTCCTTAGACAATTTATGAACAGATAGAAGATTGCAAGCAAATTTAGGAACGTGTAAAACAGATTGCAAAGTAATTTGCTCTGAAATTTTTATGCTGCCTTTGCCTGCAATACTAGAATAACTACCATCAGCAATCCTTACTTTTTCAGACCCGGAACAAGGGAAATAGGAACTGAATAAATGAGAGCAATTGGTCATATGTTCAGATGCCCCTGAATCTATTATCCAAGGGTTGGAGTAGTTTTGGACAGATAATGCCCAAGAATTCTTACCTGTTTGTACCACAGTTGCAACAGGAACATTAGGTGATGAATTGAACTTTAGAAGTTTAAAAAGGTGATCCATTTGCTCCTTAGTAAATGGAGACGAGTCAGCCTCATTGGTTGTAGACGTAGGGCGATCACCAAACCTTCCAGCCTTTCTATTATTTGGCCTACCATGTAGTTTGAAACAGTTTTGCCGAGTGTGACGATTTTGACCACAGTAGTCGCAAACTAAATGATTCTTGTCACCACCTCGTGGATTAGGGAAAGGTTTGCGATTGACTTGAGGAACAGCCAATGCAGATCCTTCGACTGGTGGAGGGACAATGGCAGCCTTTTTTCCAAGCATCACCTGCCTGCGACTCTCTTCGCGACGCACTTCAGCAAATACTTCACCAATTGGAGGGATAGGGTTCCTGCCAAGAATTCGGCCACGAACCTCATCAAACTCAATATTTAGACCTGCAAGAAACTTGAAGACACGACGAACATCCACCATCTTCTTGTAGTGTTTGCAGTCCTCGGGTGACTTCCACTCATATACATTGAACAGATCCAAATCTTGCCAAATACGCTTGAGACAATTGAAGTATTTGGTAACAGAATCTTCAGCTTGACGAATTTCTCCAAGCTGGAGAGTTAATTCATAAATTTGGGATTGGTTGTCCAAATCGGAATACATCTGAGAGACATTTTCCCAAAGATCTTTTGCAGTAGCATAACAAAGATAGTTTGCACCTATCTCTTCAGTCATGGAATTGACTAGCCATGTCATGACCATGGAATTTTCAGCATCCCAACTATCGTAGTCTGCACCTTCCTTGTCTGGTTGTTTCTTGTCTCCAGTGATGTAGCCAATTTTTCCTCTCCCCCTGAGATACAAACGGACAGACTGTGACCACCGAAAATAATTAGGACCGTTCAGTCGAATTGTTGTGATCTGAACAGGGTGATTTTCATGGTATGTCCTGACAGATTGAGGTATTTCAGTTTTAGGTGAAGAATGTTTGGGTGAATGCTGGGACTCGGTATCAGACAAGTGATCAGACATTACGTGGGATGGAAAGAAAAAAAACGGAAGCAAAAGAAGAAGAAAAAAACTAAGGAATTCTTCCAGCAACTGATACCATAAAGAAACAGACAATCTGTATTTCTTTGATAATTCGATAAGTAATAGATGAAAGGTATATATAGAATACAAGGGACAGATCAATAATCCTAAATCTGGCCTGAGAATCAGAGCAATAATTCTCCCTTTAAATGTTAATTCTAAATATGGTAGAAGACAACTAATTACTAATTATTAATAGCTAATTACTCATATATTATTTACAATGAATGCTGAGCTGTATAATACAGAATCAACAGATTCTGTACTTATCTCTGTAATAACTTCCAACAGTGTTACTATGTGAAAAGCACCTTATAGATGAAATAATCCTTTTGAAGTAAAACTATAAGCACTGTGTATTAAGATAAGAAAAGGTGGGTGAGTTATGTGAATAAATTGTGACGTTAAGAGAAACAATTAAGATAATAAAAGGTTGGTGAGCTATGTGTTAACAAATTTTGAAGTGAAGCGAAACAATTACCAATATCTGTTCTAGCAAGAAGCTTGAACAAGCCACTACATTTTTCGGTTCAAGACCAATTTTTCCAGCCCCTTCAGGAAAAACAGATTTTTGCATTGACACTGTTGTCCCCAATAAAAACGTTCCTTCACTAGCATCATCAAGGATGCTGAACAACTCCTGGGAAGGTATAGGAAAACTGGAAGGTTTAGATTGAACAATGTCCTGCAGACAATTTAGATGTATTGCATTAATATACCAAGTTACACCTGTCAGAAGATTTAACAAGAACAACAAATTGATAATTCAGACTATATGCTGCTCACCAATAGGGCAGCGCCGGCCCTCAGATAACACGGAAGAAGAAAAAATAATCCTTGTTTTTGAGTAAGAGTCACCAAAGCATGCAAAACCGAAGACCCAGGAACTTCCTAGAAAGCACAGTCAATGAAGAAAAGCAAGATATTAAGATTACCTTATGTAAAACAAGAAAAGAAAAATTTAAAAATAAAAAAAAAAAGTTAGAGCTGAAATGAAGAGGGAAACATAATGCTCTCTCATAGATCATATCTTAATTCAAATCATTGACCTCAAAGTCTTTCTTAATAGTTTTTCTTAGCCTTCCTCTGTCTATAGCAATTGAGCTACCCTACCTTTGAACAAATCCTCTTTGTATAAAATCTACATTTCTGCTCCCCGCGTGTCTAAACAACCAAGTCGGAATTCAACTGTCTTTTTATACGACAATGACTACCCCAAATCTATCTCTACCGCTCACATCAATCCTAGCTTGACTAATACTTCCACACATCTAGTGCAACACTCTCATCTGCACTAAACTAAGTTTACTGTCATGTTGGCATTTTGTTTCCAAACACACATAGAACAACATTGGTATTAGTATTAGAGTTGTAACCTGTACGATAGAACTTTTCTTTTAGCTTAAGCAACACCTTTCTATCACATAAAACACACGAAGATCTTCTACATTTCATTCATCCCACCTGAATTCTATGATTTACATTTTCCTTTATTTCTCCGTTATTTTGAACAAAACCCAAGATATTTAAACCATGTGACTTATGGTATAGTATGATCTCCTACTTTCACCTCTAAACAAGTTGTGATTTTCCTTTTGCTAAACTGGCATTCAATATATTGTCTTCTACTCAAACGAAAGCTATATGCTTCTAAAGCATGTCTTCTAGTCTCTAACCTCTGCTTTATTTTCTTTCTCGTCTGTGCAAGTAGGATTATACAATCTTCAGAAAACATGTCATGGTGCCGGCTCATGAATGTTCTCTGTAAAGATATCCAAATCTAATGTAAAATGATATGGGCCAAAAGTTGACCTTGGTGCAGTCCTATAGTAAAGAAAAACAGCGGAAGAGGAAGCTGTGCCTGTGTGTACTGTTTAGAACGAGGCAGAGGAGGCGAATATGTTTCTCACAGTAATAAGGAAGAATAATAATGATAGAGAATGAGAATTTATGGTGAAATAAAAGAGTCTTAATTGATGTTGGTAAGTCTAACATTTTTCTGAGATGAGAAAACGGAAGTCACGTTTTTTAGAAGGAAATGATACACCATATCTCTCCAAATTCCCATTTAAAAAAATTAAAATTAAAGTTTTAATGTGACCGACCCGAATCTAGACCCATTTTAAAAATTTGGATTTTTTATTTTTTCTAAAAATAACCCAAAAAAAGGGGTGCCGGATCTCATACGAATTCGCTGAGTTTGGTGCATACGATCCCACCCGAATCGCAGCATACTGGCATGCTATTGGAACTTAAGATCGGACAAGTTTATGTGCTCACTTGCGATTCTGCATACACTGACCGAAACAATAGGCCCCTACTTAGCGTGCCAAAGTTCCAACCTAAAGCCCTCAGAGTTTTGTCCTTTGTAAAAGGCGTCTCAGTGGGTTTAGGAGTTTACGAGTGCAAGTGTCTATAAACTACCCTTAGCCTCAATTCCTAAGAAAAGGAACTATTTCTAGTGTACCAGAACAATAACCCCCCAATCAAGGTCAAACGGCTAAAGGCTTGTAGCTTAGACCCCTACCTGGAACACCAACGTTCCGCCCTCAAGTCCACAACACCATACTTAGGAGATATTGTCTGCTTTGGACCTTGTGTATGCCCTCACGGTTTTAGTCCTTTGTAAAAGGTTACTCAACCGATAGAGGAATGTCGTCATTTATAAGCTACCCTCAGCCTCGATTCCTAAATAATGTAGGACTGTTTGGTGTACTGGAACAGTATCCAGCATAGAACTCTCAACACATATGGAGTGAAACCTTGGTAGCTAGATAACGAGCAGTCCGATGGGTCTAGGATAGCTCCGACAGAAACTTAGAATTTGGATTTGGCCTAACATAGCCCCACAAAACCAACTTGTGAAGTGTAAAGTTCCCAAGCTTTATAAGCTTGTATTAGACATCACCACTAGTTGTTATATGACTTGGGCTTTTTCCAATAAACCCCTCATGCATAACAGACTACAAGGATTAGTTTGTGGATAATATGATGGGCAACCCAACAATAGACCTAGGATAGACTTTAATAGCAACTCAAAACTTAGATTAGACCAAACTCAAATTCACAAAAACCGACTTGCAAGGTAAGGAGTGATCAAGTTTTATAAGATCTGATTATACACTATATATATTTTAAAAGGCCAAAGAAGAGTTTGTAAAACTCATATTCATAATTTGAATTTATATTTGAAAAGGAACCTATCATCTTCTGAACAAACCAATGTGGATATTTTGTGTCATAATGAAAAGTAATATGCATAGAACTGATACAAGATAATAAAAAGTAATATAACTTATTCATGTAAGAGGAACAAGGTTTTACCTCCAGCATCACATTTTCAAACGATAGAACTTCCTTCACCTCTTCTACCGAGAGCTATAAAAATTATGAATAAGAACACATCAAAATCACCCGGGTCATTCATATATGTATAATTCACAGTGATGAAATATTACCTTATCCCAATATGCCCCTAAAAGCTCCCTAGTTTTTGAAGTATCCTGAAATTTGTAAACAGCATAAAGAAAAATTGAGGGCAACAAGGAAAAGAAACAAAAGAAGTGTTGTAGTAGGCAAAGCATGAAGAAAATACAAAAGGGTAAATGTATGAACTAAGAAAAACAATATTATAGATATCATTATACTTTAGGATCAAAAGAAAACCTTATCAAGCTTTTTGAATCGGTGATGCACAGGTAAATGTCTTCTATAGTTAAGAGTGGAGCAGAACTCTTGAGAACACTTCTCACATTTATCTGTCGGAACCTTCAGAGGATAGAGCAAAGGCCAGCCTGGATATTCTGTATGTACGAAAAATTCCTCTTAAGCTCATAGGCGTTTGTTGAAAAGTTAAATGAGGGCTTTTGAAAAGTTGAGATGTAGAAGCAAGTTTTTTCTTATACTAGAAGCTATTGCTTAAAAAAAAATCATAGTCATTGCAAGATTCTTTTATTCTCTCTTTCTAAGTGAAGAGTTTCATATTAATCTGTAACAAGCCAAAAACTATGATACTGAAAATATAAGCTCTCAATCCTGTACAGGCCAGCACAAAGGTGGCATTTAATGAAGCACGGACACGATATAAGTATCAAATATGATACGTATCCGATACGGTGATACGCCACTAATTGAATAATATAAGATACTATATGTTTAAGATATGTATATAAAAATCATAACAAAACCAAATACATAACACAATTTATAACATGTTAAATTTCAAATATTGGTATTGATAAGAAATTATGGGAAATAAAACCAATTTTGAAAAATGGTAACCCTCTCCAAAAAATTAATTAGGATTTTAAAGAGAATGGGCAGGAATGAAGGGTTATTAAAAAGGGGAATGGACGGTCATTAAAAAGAAGAATCTGATGAAAAAAATAAAGAGTCACGTATATGTGGAGTATCGGAGGCGTACTGCCGCTGTATCGGAATTTTTTTATTTATTTTTAAATAAATAAATTTGGATACTCCTTCGATGCGTATCAACACCGTATCGGAGCGTATCATTATATATCGAATACAATTCGGCAGAGACTTTGACGTATCCGTGCTCCATTGGCGGCATTAGTCTAAATAAATATTTATAGCTCTACTTGAGGTCTTTTTAATTTGTTTGCGGCCGGCTAGACACATTACATGGTTGTTGTACATACTTCAATTCAATTAACGTCCAATGCATACAAATTTATATCACAAGAATGATTTTGAACATGAACCACCGAAAATATAAATTTTCAGACCTGAAAAAACATTGCCAACACCTTGCGGATCAAAAGCATGAAGAAATGGAATCAACTGTCCTGGGCTGTCACTGACCCTTGGAAAATAAAAGAGAGGTTCTTTGCCAATTGCTTGTCTGATTATGGTTTCTATTCCGTCTTCTGTTCTCATGACATCTGTAGTGTCAGAGGCCTTGAGTTTTGCAACTGACATCTACTTAAACAAAAGCTCACCAAGCAGTTTTACAAGATTCCACTGTATAAAATATAAATTAATACATGTAAATGGGTCATCGGAAAGAAGATGAAAACTTTCTTATTTAAAATATTTGAATTTCTCGTAAACAAGTAAAAGCTGTGAGTAGACAGTTAAAGAGAGGAAAGACAATGCTATTGCTTGTTTTCTTTTCCCAAATTATTTACCCTGAAAAAAGGACACAATAAATGACTTGATTAAAATTGTTGATATTTATAAATATAGTGTTAAAGAATATCTGTATGTAGAATAATCCCACATCGATTATATCATATAATTAGTTGTAATCTCTATATATAATAAAGTCTCCGTAGTGCTTTCAAAACACACGGTTTAACCTAAATGTCTCTTAGTCTCTCCTAATTCAACATGGTATCTAGAGCCTACTAAGAGGCAATTCTTCGCCATGCTTTACCCGGTTGACACACTGTCTTCTGGTGACAAATTTTTATTTTATTTTTGAAAACCGTGTCATCACTCCGATTTGCCTCTCACTTTCCAAAATTCTTCGGTAACCACCAGACTGTTGTCGCCGTATATATTAAAGTCTCCATAATGCTTTCAAAACACACGGTTTAACCTAAATGTCTCTTAGTTTCTCCTAATTCAACAAAAGCCATGGAAATAACAGAATAAAACTCCACAAATGTGTCTTTAAAAACTTACAAAAATGTTGATAGCACAGTTCTTGTCCGGTACCTCTTTCTCTCAGAGAACTTGAGCCTCTGGGGAAAAGATAGAATCTAACGTCAACATCAAACTACATAGCATAAGAACTAGAATATAATGGTACATCATATCAGATAGTCAATGTGCCATATGCAAAATATGTATGATCTGGTCCATTCATCTTCCTACATAGGCTCCACACACCATTCTTTTATAGCAACTTCTGCTTTGCCAAATGTAGGAAAATAAATTACAAACAATCAGTTACAGATTTACAGACCGCACTCGTGAATTACCTTAACATATGGCCATGGCCTCAACATCTGCCCTATTGTTAATGTTGCCCTATTGTTAATGTTGAGTGTGGAACACACATGTCCATTTTAGAATAACTCAAGATTCTTTGCAAATCACAAGGACTAAAAACAGGTTAAAATATGATCGAAAGACTTAACAATAAGATCAGATCATTAGTTCTCTAACTTCGATGGGATGAACAAAGGAAAGAAGTAGATGTGAACCTTCTTTCCTTCTCTATATGATAGAAACAATCTATGTGTGAAATTAATGCGCCATTATACTCTATCCTAAGAACTGCTTCAAATGCATAACTGTAATTGCCAATTAATTAAACCAAAATTGGCATTGCCCAGAATCAGTAAGCCAGTAAATTTACAATAAGGCCAATTCATTTCACCGATCAACAAGCTAATTACCGTTGAAAAACCCTATCATACGTTTGGGCCCAAGCAATTATAAATTTCTTTTAGGGCTGACGTACACATTATGGGTTTTCCATCATTAAACCAGTGTTGTAGATGGCGGATGGTGGTCCATGGCAGAGAGCCAAATCCCACCATATTAGTCGCTTTGCGGCGCCGTTATAGCGGATTATGGCAGAAAATCCCGCAATATCGGCCGATATTCACCATTGCAACGAGCCCAAAAACTACCATATATATCCGTCATAGCGCCGCAATTTGATAACACTAAAACATAATACTTACCAATAAGGAACTACCAGTGTTCCCCTCATAGATAACCGTTATATTACAATAAAAAATCATGAGATACTTTGATTAAAAATTGACAATGTTAATATCTACAAATCATTTTCCAAAATTAATAAATTAATTGGCAAAATAAAGGTGCAACTGGCGTACCCTTTTCAAGAATACACCTTAGTCCAGGCTTTGTAATACCAAGGTAATGAAAACCAGACCGAACCGGACAGTCAGACCGGTTGAATTACCATAATACAACCACGGCCTACACCTTTTTTTTTGAAAGACAAATACTTATATACAGATAAGGAAAAATCCAAATGCGCGGGAGCAAGCAAGCCGGAACAAGATGTGCAAACCGCTCCTCAAAAATACGAAATAAACAAAAGCCCAACACCACCAAAACACCAAAAAGAATCAGACTAGATACTAGAAACCAGAACCACCATCAACAAATCAGCATCAACCATCAACCATCAACCATCAACCAACAGCAGCTTAGAACCACAACCCCAATAAAATCAGGTGACAATAACCATAACAAACTCACAAAAAAACTGATTAATAATGTAAAAAACTGAACAACAGAAATGTAACTAAATTTTATTTTATTTTACAACAATAATCATCTATAGTTTTCATTAGAAGCTTATTTGCAAGTAAACACCCTAGAATAAATAACCCCAATGGGTTTTACACTAAAAAAAAAAAGTAAAATCAGATCACAGCACTCTCCAATCCACATTGATCAGCATAACAAACAATTAAGCTACAACAAACAAAGCAAAACGCATGCATAAACCACAGCAAAACGATCTTACACAATCCAACAACAAAAAAACTACAATGCATATACAAGGCGGTGTTGTTTCATCTGATATTCTGAAAGCAGTAAACAATAATTGTAATGAAGTGATCTATGAAGTGTTAGGAGGAAGGTCTCAGTGAGAGTGAATGACGTACCTGAGAGAAACGAGGAGAATGAGAATTGGTGCGGCAGGAACGAAAATCGGCGAGAAAATGCGAGAAAAGATTGTTATGAAGTGTGGAGTAATGAAAATTGTAAGAATGTTCTTTGTATTTAAATACACAAAATTAAAATTAAATATTAGAAATATGTTTTTGTTAAATGAGTTGTAAAAATAAAATACCAACCTGTCCTAGGTAAAAAAAAAAATTCCAAATAAATTAGTATAATAATAATAATAATAATAAAAAAGTGTTTTTTCAATAATTTTTTAAATGATTTTGTTTAGTTTTTTCTAGAATAAGAATTAAATTTGTCTTTTAAATATAATTTATTAATAATTATTAAAAAAAAAATTGATATTCGTAAATTATTATTTCATTTATTCAAAAATTCGGTAAAAACCCGCGCGAATGCATGGATATCTGGTATTGCATTATTTAAAATTATTATTATTATTTAGTAGTGAGAAATGGTAATATTATGCATAATTAAATTATAACAAAATTAGTAATTTATTATTTTAGATAGTCGAGAATGTTGATAGTTATAATCCAAAAGGTTATAAATTCAATGAAGGAATATGAAATTTATGGTATTTCTTGATCTCATGTTGGTGACAAAATCTTTTGGTTTGTTTGGATTTAGGGTGAGTTTTTCATACTTGATTTGATGTTCGTGTTGTAAACTTTTGTGTTCTCTATGGTACATCTTGTGTTATAGGGTCGTTTATTGTTATAATTTATTTTGATTTCTTAAAAAAATGACATTTATGAATTTTGTAGTGTTGTACACTAGGGGTGGTAAAACGGATCATGAATGTTGGGTTGGCCCGTCCACCCGCCAAAAAAAGCGGGTTGGATTGGGATTTTGGACCCGCCCCGCTAAAAACCTCGTCTGCTAAAGTCCATCCCACCAAAATCCTCTGAAGTCCGCCGCCTCTATTCGTTCAACTTGTCACACCTTAAGTCTACCGCGTTTAGTTAATTATAGTAATTTTTATTCTTAATGGTTTTATTTAACACATTTATTTGTGTATATATGCAATATTTTTTGGGGATTTCTTATTTCATCCCATGTTTTTCTTACACACCATGCGAAATTCCACTATTTCCTCTGAAAGCCGGAAATATACTTCTTGTTCGCACCCACACACATATAATTCATCTATTTTTTGAAATTTATCCTATTTTACAATGAAATTTTCTCATAAATGAACTTCCTGTATAAAATCGAAAACGCATTTTCGGTTCTCAGTAAAGTTACTTCACACATTAACAATGCAAACAAGGTGTTACTATTCAACCCTTGCTTCTACTAATTTATTTTTCAATGTTTTGGAACTATATTTACTTATGTTATAAACTGTTCTAATGTTTTTTGTTCCTTTTCAAAATTCTATCTTAATGTTTGAGAATCTCATTCTACAATCTCTTAAGGATACACCGACAGGAGTTTAAGACACTTTTGTCGTAAGTTTAAGACACTCTACCAATTTAATGGAGAATATCTATGACAGCCATGGTTATCCTTAAAAAAGATAACCCTTTATTATTGTTGAAATATTAAATTAGATTTGTTAAAATATTAGATTATATTAGATTTAATATTTAAATATAATCCAAGTTGTGTAGACTCAAGCCCAATTAGAATTGTATATAAATAGTTCTAGTTTGTATCGTTATTTATACAATTCAATAATACAAATCCATATTTCATTTATTATTCTCTCTTTCTTTCCTTACTAAAATTGGCTCACGCACTAACAAATTGGTATCCAGAGCTTTCGATTATTGTTCTTGATCGAGTTTTCAAGAATTTCACGTCAAAGATTGTGTTTCTAGGACAAGTGAATCAATCGCTACGAAGATGGCTAGTGATAAGGGCATTCCAAATTCTCTTCCAATGTTTGACAGCAAGAATTGGATCTGATGGAAAAAAACATATGCAATCCTTGTTTGGCTTCCATGGAACCCTATAAGTGGTTACCGGCGGTGTTCCTGCGTTGGCTGCAAATACAACCGACAAACAGAAAAAAGCCCACAACAAAGTCAAGAAGAAAGATTGCAAGGCTGCTTATTACATTTAGACAGCAGTCGATACTACTAATTTTGATAGAATCTCTCATGCTGAAACGGCAAAGGAGACATGGGATATTCTGGTGAAGTATTACGAAGGAGGTGAGAAAGTCAAGGTTGTCAAGTTGCAAACCTTGCATCGACAATATGAGTTATTATTGATGGGAGAAGATGAAAAAGTTACAGAATATGTGTCGAAGATTCAGAAACTCGTCCATCTCATGAAGGATTGTGGTGAAA